TGCTCAAATACCATGAATGGGGTACCGTTGGATTCAGAATTTCACGGGGGGTTAGCGAATGGTATTCTCCACTTTTGTTTTTCTTTCTAAAATAAATAAAGTCGATACAAACATTTTGCTAGGCTTCAATACCATAACAGTGGTAGGTCTGTTGATCGATACGGGACAAATTGGATCTAGAAGATTTTGATGCGTACAGCAAGACCCGGATAGTTCCTCTGGAACTAACGAATCCTTCGTTTTTAAGCCCAAAAACGTACTATTTTCGAGATAACGCAAGGCATAGGGTTCGCATCCACACAACCTTACATTGTAGTACTGTCATTGAATACATGTCTCATTGTGTCGACTCTAAGTCTCTATGATCAAGAGAGGAGGAGTTTATATTATTTATCGATTGTGTTTTTGATCGGCAAGCCATATCATCGTCAATTTTTCACCAAATCTCAAGATTGAGCCACCAATTTCGAAGGCTTCCTTCTCCTTCAGGCGGACAAAATAGTCAATCATCCCGAAAATTCAGGCAAAAACGTTACAAAAGAAAACAAACTTCATTTGCGAATAACTAAAAAATTAAACACTTCTCCCTATAGATCTATAGTTCGGTTATTCCCGTGATTATATAAAAGATTACAACATTCCCTAGACAATGAAAAAAAAAATCATTGAAATCGGACAATTTTTAGCAAAGATACAGCTTACTGAAATTTGTAAACATGTTGGTTCCAAACAAAAATGAATATTTAAATTAATTTTTGTTTTCTTTGTCGATTATATTTATCGATAAAGTAACATTTGATTTCTTTATCTTTTGATAGGTTGCATTATTTTATTTTCTTATTAATCTGGCATTTGATAACAATATGCTGTGCGAATTTTTCGCACGGGCTTACTAGTAACTATAATTTGTCCTAACGGGACAGCGTTCCCAGGATAATAAAAACGTATTTTCATTTCACTCGTATCTGTCCAATTCGACAGTCGTTTATCGTCTGACTAGGGTTGGAGAGAAAACGCCAAGCGTTTGATATATTGAAAAGAATAGTTCTTGATCTCAAACGAATGAACTGTTCCAAACAAATAATAACAGCGTTTTTTTTTTAGTTCACCTGTTTGCCACTAGTCGAGGTGCTGTTTGATCTGTTTTTTGTTTCGTTTTTTTTTTGCAAACGAAACAAAAGCTCTTTCTTCTTTCCAACTAACCTATCACCTCATCATGAAAATGACCCAACAGTTTTTTATATATATATATATGACATGTTTCATCTTTTAAGATTAAGAGATGTAATTTTTAGCTCCCATTATTAATGAAGGCTAGAAATAAATAAAAACTTTTATAATAATTAAATAATAACTTAACTATTATAGTTACTACATTACTGAATTAACTTAGACATATTTGTAGGCAAAATTAGTATATGTTTTTAATTGTATCTATCTATATTAATGTCTTGCAGACCGAAAATAATTTTTATAATTGAACAGATTCACATAAATCAATTTAATTGCATAAATAAAAATAAACACTATTATGTTCTATTAGTTGGCCCATGTGAAAAATTCGCAGAAAATTTTGTTTATTGAAGAAATAGCAAAACAATATGGAAATAAGAAAGTTCCTATGTATTATGTAAGGAAGGAATTAATATTTTTTCCTTAATCTATTACAATATTCCATTAAATATAATATACCAAAATATCTATACAAATTGCTTTGCTATAACCTATTTTTAAACGCTGAGTTTAAAGATAATAAAAGTAATAAAGACAAAATAATGCCCCGATCATAGGATATTCTAAATTATTTAAAAAAAATAAAATGTAAGAACAACCAAATTTCTTTAAGAAATGATAAAGTTAATATAAAAGCCAGGAAAAAATGTAGTAGACTGCTAAATGCAATATCTTTAAAGAGGAAGACATTATTAAGTCTACCAAAACTAATGGGCTGTATCTTTGTTAATAATTGTCCTATTTTTTTTTGTTTTGTAGGTAATTTGGCATTCTTTCTAATTATTATGGGTACAATCAAGAAAAAAATGCATACTCTTTGAGTTATTCGCAAATAAACTTTCTTTTCCTCCATAACTTTTTTTCAGAAATTTCGGGGGAGGGGGAGTCGTAATATTTTTCGCATGTTAAGGAGAAGAATATCATCAAAATGAGTGGTCAATCATTTGATGAAGAATTGACGAAGTTATGGCGTACCGACAAAAAAAGACCTTTTAGAAATAATATATAGGATAAAAATTTAAAAAGAAAAACAATTGAAAAATTGTTTAAACTACAGTTAAAAGACTCATGATGACCAGTGCTGCATGATTTAAAACTTCGAACATACAAGAAAGTCAAAATATTATTAAAATAAAAATGCGTTCTATGTGTAAAAAATAAGTTTTAATTAGTTAAAAAGAAATGATTAAGATTAAACATTCATTTAATATTACAAATAAATTCAAAGGTTATCAATTTCAAGCTGGAACAATGCCAAACTTCATACATAAAATGACTCATTCATTTCCAGACTTGTTATTAACTTTTTTTTTCGACAGTTCTTAAGAACACCAAGCTGTCTCAAATCCGCCTTAACATCCTCCAGCCAACGGAGTAGTGGCCTTCGGCCTTCCTCTACTTCTTGCTCCTCAAGGTTACGGGCGGATCTACGGGGGTGGGGAGGGGGGCTTTAGCCCGAAAGCCTCCTCTCTCCCTCCCCAAAATGGTAAAATATAGCCATGTTTTATCGAAATAAATATTAAAAATGAATCTCTTAAAGTATTATTGTTTGTGTAATTTCATTTAAAAGGGCTTTAGGAATCACTTAAACACCATTTCATATAGGTAGTTAGTTTCTTTCTTTTTTTCCAAAGTAATTATCATTAGTTATATGAAAAAAAACAGCTTTCAAGCTGAAGCCCCCTCCAAAATGAAATTCTGGATCCGCTAGTGCTCAAGGTCACCCATATAATATTTCCTTCGGCACTCGGTCCGCTGCCATCCTTTCCACATGACCCAACTAGCTTTTGCGTCCTACCTTATTGACGCTAACGAGATATGTGTCTCTCCCGATTGTATCGACACCTCTAAACACCTTCTTCACATACAGGTCCGTAAATCCTTCTGAGTATCTTACGCTCTCACACTCCAAGAGCCTCTCATGTTTTGCTGAGGTAAGCCACGTCTCGCTTCCTTATGTGACTACTGGATGAATCATGGCTTTATAAATTGCTAATCAGTACTAAGTACCTAAATAGTCGCTGTATGGCTTAAAAACATCAAACATTTAAATAGATGATTGGCTACATACAATGAGACCCTTGGAACATTATTAGTGTTGCCCAAAATCGGTCTTGGTCCTGCACTTTGCTAGCCCAAGATCAAGACCGCCTAACTGTTGCAATACCAAGACCAAGACTGACCAAGATTAAGATTTCTTAAAATTAAAATTAAGACAAAATAGTTACTAATGCTCGACAATCTTAGTTACTATATGTCAATAATTGGTATAACCGATATACTTTTGCATTTAGCTCCTCCAATTTTTCATTCAAGCTTAGTTAGGTTTCTCCTATCTACAAAATTACAGTAATATCTCTATAGCAATAAGCTAATAAGTAATTGCAAGTCTATTGCGAGTCCCTTGCGCAAGACCACGACCAATACTCGTCTCGGTCTCTCATTCGGGTAACACTAAACATTATGTATTATCTGACACCCATGAAGTCGTTTGGGTTGGTCAAGCCTGGTTTGGATGATGGAATTATGTTTTCGTTTCGTTTAGCTTATGTGATTAGTAATAATTAATAAACTTATATAAATGTATGAAAAAACATTTATGTGTATGTTATATTCCCATGTTTAGAAAAAGAAACTAAGGTATGTGCTTTAGACTACACTATAGAAGTTAAAACATCAACAAGCCGAAATTAATAATAATTTATTAAAATTATAAATAATATTTCATTATAAAGAAGATGAAATGCTGAATATTTCTCTCCCGTACAGTATACTGGTCAGATTTTTAGTTTCTAAGATATTTTATTCCATATCTTAAATAAAACTCATTATCATTTGGTTTTCGACACTATGTTGTCTCTTTTCTCCTCTCTAACACGGCTTCACGTTAAGATACTATTTTTATTATTACCTCATTATATAGAAGATAAAATGATGAACATATCTCTTGCCTACAATTTGCTGATCCAATTCTTAGTTTTAAGATATTTTAATTCATATGAAAAACACTTCAATCATTCGACTTTACCAGAGCGTTACACATCAGTGATCTGACTGCTTGATCTAATTCACTGTTCATAAAAAAAGTGAAGATCGCGCCTAAAGATGTTTTCACTTCAATAAAATAAACTTTGGATGGCTAAGAAGGTAGTTATTTATAATTAGAAAATATCTTTGTTAATTACTTATATGTATAACTTAAAACGGAGAAGTTTCACACATTGGAACATTGTTCCAAAAATAGACTCGTTTCTTTTAGAAAAAAACGTTTTATTTGAATGAGAACCACTAGCCGATCAACGATTTAATTTTTTTGTAGAGTAGAACTTAAACCCGAAAGATTTTTTTTTCATATACATGTAACGATAATTAATTTAAAAACAAAATTAACTGCCTGTACGGAATGGTATTTAAGTGGTTCTTGAAGTCTTATTAAGTGTAATTAAACGAACAAGAATACTTTAAGAGATAGTTTTTAATATTTTTTTTCTGTAAAACATGGTTATATTTTACTATTTTGGGAGGGGCTTCGGCCCGAAAGTACCTCCCTCTCCCCCTCCAAGTAGATCCGCCTATGTTGAGAATTTCCAGATTTATAGAGGAACCATTCTTAAGTCAGTCATTTCATTAGTTTTTCTTTAAGTCGTCAAAGAAATTAATCTACTTTGGGAATAATAATACGCTCTATGTTTAAAGCGTACAAATAAATGGGTTTTAATTATATTATAATAAACTCCCATTTTATTTTTTTTATTATTATTTTGTAGGTACATGCTTTATCCGATGAATCCAGATTTCTTCTTAGCTATGGAACAGTCTAGGTTGGCTGAGACAGAAGTGCGAAATCAGCAATATTTAAAGAAACCGGACGCAATTAGAAGCAGAAGAAAAATAAACTATTATTCTAACCCCAATCTGCGATGGAGAGGTAACTTCGATAGACGTCCATTGAGGTCTAGAAATTACAAAATAAACCAACTTTTTTTATGAGTTTTTCAAGCTTATTAGATCTAATGGAAAACTTATTCTAACAAAGCCCTAGGTTTTTAGATATCTATGCAGTAACAAGTAACAACTTGATTCATTATAATATGAATATATGGATCAGTGCCGGTCTTAGATATTAGGCGCCCACGGATAATAACGTCACCTCTCCCCCTTAAAAAAATATATATATTTCTTAAATAGTTTTATACTATCTTATCGCAACCTACAAATATTGTATTTACGAAAATTCTCGGAATTAGATGGTTTTCAAGCTGGAGGTCGGCAAACTTTGTCTATTTAATTATGTACTAATAACTCGTATATACCCATTTATTTTCTACTTAGATCTTAACATAATTGGATCACAAAATTGAGAAAAAAAGTACAAAAATATTGGGCCGTGTGGTCTCTACAACATCCTTATTTAGACATTTTCGGAGTGTAGATCACGCTAAACGGCCCAATTATTTTGGGGCCACCTTTATCTCGAATTTTTTTCTCAAATTATCTTACGATTCAAGATAAAAGCAAAAGGATATTTACGAGTTTTTAGTACTTAATTAAATAAACTGACTAAAAAGGATGAGATGAAGCTGAGTGTGTTTGAGCGAGGAGTCCTCAGAAGGATTTATGGTCCAGTAAAGGAGGGTGATGTCTGGAGGAAAAGAAAAAATAGGGAGCTCAGTTCTCTCTATGCAGACATCGACGTAGTCACCTATATTAAACTGGCCAGACTAATGTGGGCAGGGCATGTGGCCAGAATGAGCACCGCTGAAATACCAAAGAAAATAATGATGGAGGAGCTGCACCTCGCAAGACGGGTAGGGAGGCCGAGGACGAGATGGTTGGACAACGTGGCCTATGATGCGAGAACCCTGCTTGGTGTACGGAACTGGAGAGCTGCAGCAGAAGACAGAGCCAACTGGCGGAGGCTCTTGGAGGAGGCCCAGTCTCGGTAACGGGATGTTGTGCCACATATGATGATGATGATCATTAAATAAACAATACCGATTATTTTCGTAAATGAAATAATAAGTTTACGATGAGATAAAACGAATAACATTTTTTTGTCAGTCCGCCGCCCGCGCATTTTCTCCGTTTTTTAAAAAATATAAATGTCATAAACATTAAAAATCTGGTGCGCGCAACACACAACTTTCACTTATCGATCTACTATGAATAGAAATTATTTTCTGGCAATGCTGGGCTATTATAAAATTTTTTGAAGTGCATTTTAAACGGAGCTAAAGCTTAAAGCTTACAGATAACAATTCATTAAGACCATTATAATTACAGAATGTCTATTTAATATATCGACAAAAGGCAATAAAAATCTTGTCACTCCATCTGCTTTTATAAACCACACAACTTTCTTTGCTTTTATAAACTTCAAAATGACTAACTCCAATTTCAACATTTTTAAGTGACGTCATTTTAGTGATATTTTTAGTTGAAAAAGTTATCTATGCAGAATATGAGTAAGTTGATTCCGGAGGTGGTGATTGCAATGTTGAAATATAGAACTCAGAATAAAGGTATACAATTAGGTACTTATTTCTTATGAAAAATGTTCTTAGGAAAGATACTTTATTAAACATCTGTAGAAAAAAGTTTTTTTTAAATCTCAACAATAAAAAAAGTATATTTTAAATGTCTCTAAATTTTCGCCTCTTCAGAGAAAAAAAACAAGAGACCATATCTTTCCTCCTATCTGCCCGATCTTAACGATTTTTTTTTTTTTTTTTAGGAAATTCCATAAACTTTTAAAAAACCATATACAATATACCCAAAAAAGTGTATACTTTTTGAGTTATTCAGAATTTAATTTTACCATCCCTCGTAACTTTTTTTCCAGCTTCTTTTCGTTGAAGTATGTTATATAGATAAATTTAAAGGGTGTCGAGAAAATGACTTTAGCGAAGTTTCATTGAAATCGGTACATTCGTTTAGGCGCTACAGTCTATAGCAACGCAGGTTTTTCTGCATTTTTATTTTTTTTCTCCTTTATTAACTTATCAAATTCTTTCAAAAGTTATATTTAGCATTTTTTCATTACTTTGAATAATGTGAAATGATTAACTTTTTAAAATAAACCATATTTAAGGTACTTTAGAGGAAGACATATATGAACATTGGGCATTTAAGCCCTGTAAAGTGACATCAATGGGGATAAGACCTAATTGATATTAAAGACCACTTAATTATACAATGATACACCGAGTTTAATCAAAATCGTAAAATTGTGAAAATGTGTTTCGGCGTTGATATAAAGTGGCACTTCCGGTTAGCCGATTTTAATGAAAAAGTTGCCGTCACATCTAAGGCACATACCTATCTTAAATACGTAATATCAGTTTCGTAGGACTTTTCGTTTTTGAGCTAGACTGCTAACATAAAAACACACAGACACACAGACCATTTTTCGGGACTTCAAAACGACTCAGGGTACCTCAAAACGTCTATCTTCGTTGAAAACTCAGATTCAAAAATTTTCTCGATCGCAATACTTACCCTTACCATATATTACATTCCAAAATTTTCATAAAATAATATCGATTTTTTTCTCGGGCTCTCGGACTGTAAAGTTGAAGGAAACGTTAATCCTACCTTCCTTGTTGTATGCCGTTGGATATCATGGAGTAATTCAATCTTCGATTTGCTTTTCCTTTCTATCCTGATGATATTGAAACTTTAACGTAATTTTCACCTGGACTTTGGTATTTAACCACATAGACTTAAGGCTATGTGGTTATAATTTTTCTAATTGTAACCTAAAGGGGACCCTACACGGTAATTCATGAATGAACGTCACAAGAAGTTCCAAGATTGCCCGCTATCGCTTTGATCATGAAGACCCTTACACGTTCAATCATTACTGATCATTACTTATGTGAAGTTTCCACTTTTTTTTCTCTCCAATTTATTGTCTACTTGACTTTTTATAGAAAAAATAGTTGAAAATGGTTAATAATAACATAGATTTATAGTTAATAATAACAACTATTTACTTTTATGAAATTATTTACTTAATAACGAGACTTAGGTAAACTAACCTATCTAGTAGTAAGGTTAGTCTCATAGAAAACCTAACCTAACCTATCACTTCTCGTGAATGAACCTTTGATTTCCGGATGTTCGGAAATCCTCAGCGCACCACCATCAGTACTTCATTCACTACCTTACACGACAATTCGGAACGTCATTAGTGCAATTCCGATTGACCGTGTAGGGTGCCCTTAATAATGACTTTCTGTCACTTGGTGAGTTTTTAATACTTTTTGTAAAATCGATGTTTAGTTTGATTTCTCGATTTCAAGCCAGTCACTGATTCACTATCTGCCATGACCATTTACTGTTACTGAATGTCCCTTATACAAAAAAAATAAAATATTCAATACGCCAGATTTAGACAAATATACGAAAATATATTGCGTGTTGTAGATATGAAACTTTGGAGAAGGAACACTAAATTTCTCGATAAGACTGATATAGTTAGCTTGAAGGTCCTATGAGACAGAGGGTACACATCGCTGGTGGGAGTGGTTGGCACATCTGCATTCAGCCACATCTGCGCCTCATTGTAAAGTATAATCTTGAGGGCAGGAGCTAGGTGTTGTTTTTGTCCCCTTGTCTCCTTTATTAAAATATAATGCTATTCTCGGCCTCACTGTCAGGCTAATTTTTTTTAAAGGTTTCTTTTTCATAAGTGTGGATAAATAGAAATATAAAAGATAATATTAAAACAAGACGGTGGATCAATACAGGAGAGCCCATTCCACTCCTGGGGTTCACACAGACAAAATAATACAAATACTTTATTAACTATACAATAAACAACATGACAACAATATTGTTATCAAACATCAACTTCTATTGTTGTTATCAATTGAACTGTTACTCATATACATGAATATAATAAGGCCTATTTGGACTTATGGGGTTGAGCTATGGGGCTCCACTAAACCATCGAATTTCTCTCGTATCCAATAGCCTCAATCCTTTCTACTTTTTTACAAATAAAATCATCCATAATAACCTTGTGGATATAATCTGTCCCAATCCTGATACCTATCCTTCCATAATAAACTTCAGAATCATCCCAACCCTCTCGTTTCTAACTCTGCTTCCTCTTCACTTCCTGATAACCCTCCGGAGCTTCTGAAAAGAAGACGGCCCCATGATCTCTAAATGTAGACATATCATTAGAGTGCTACCAGTGGGTAGTTTTTTTAACAAGTGTTTTCGTAAGCTAAACAGGTACTAACGTAACATCTCTCTTTGGAAACGTAAATTCGCATCCTGCCGACTGTTTGAATGAATATATTTTACTTTAACGTTTTATTTTATTTTTTTCTTAATGATATTTACAACTGTATTATAGAAATACATTTAGTAAATTTGAACATATGGATATAATGAAGTGAAAACACATGCTGAGTAACTAGCCAATGGTAGCACTCTAATAATATGTCTACATTAGGAGATCACGGGGCCATCTTCTTTTCAGACGCTTCGGAGGGTTATCAGGAAATGAAGAGGAAGCAAGGTTAGGAACGAGAAGGTTAGGATGATTCTGAAGTTTATTATGGAAGGACAGGTATCTGGATTGGGCCAGTTCTGAAACATTAAGGTCATTATGGACGGTTTTATTTGTAACAAAGTAAGGAGTATTGAGGATTTTGGATTGTAAGGATTGGATACGAGAGGAATTCGATGGTTTAGTGGAGCCCCATAGCTCAACTCTGTAAGTCCAAATAGGTCTTATTATAGTCAAGTATATGAGTCTTTTGTAATTAATGGGAAGTTTAGAGCGTTTGTCTAGTAAGTGTTGGAGTAAGCGGAAACGTCGAATTGTTTCTTGTCGTTTCTGTCTGGTATGAGTTTATATTATAAATGATGTTTTCACTTCTATCGTGTGTACTAAAGCACTCACCTTAGTTGTTGTTTTTTTGCTTCCTCACTACCGAAGGTAGGGGCGCATTGTGTTCGTGGGTGAGATTAAAAAATTTTTTTTGCTCAAAATCGAAAATTTTCACTCGCGTTTTACGTTTCAGACATCAAGGATCAAATTTGATTCGGTGTCTGTCTGTCTGTAGTCAAATCGATTTGACGGGCATATCACCTAGTACCGTTCATCCTATCATCACGAAATTTTCAGGAATTATGCAGATTGGTGCCTAGATGGTCCCATATCAATTTTATCAAATTCCATCCAGCACTTCCGCTTACGCACGCGGAAACGTATATTTTTAGATATGCCAATATTTCAGAAAGGGCTCGTTCAATTTGGCTCAAACTTAGATAAAAGGTAGACATTCTATGAAAAAATAATGTAGTGTCAATTTTATTGAATTCAGTCCATCTCTCTTATATATGCACTACTAGTCCCTTGTCCGCCGTCCGCGCATTTTTTCCGAAACTACTGGACCGATTTTTTTCGAATTTGGATATAAAATCAGAGGTCACCCGCGGAATATCCTCCTTTAACGACATTACTATTCGCCTTCTAGTTTCAAAATGGTGGCCGAAAAACCTGCGTTGCTATAGACTGTAGCGCCTAAAAGAATGTACCGATTTTAATGAAACTTCGCTAAAGTCATTTTATCTACGCCCTTTAAATTTATCTATATGACATACTTCAACGAAAAGAAACTAAAAAAAAAGTTACGAGGAATGGTAAAATTAAATTCCAAATAACTCATGAATTATACATACACCATTTTGTGAATATGGTATATTTTTTTAATAGTTTACGGAATTTCCTAAAGAACAAAAAAAAAATCGTTAAAATCTGACAATTAGGAGCAAAGATATGGTCTTTAGTTTTTTTTTTGTTTTAGATTTGCTTTTGCAAAAGGTTTATCTTTTGTTTTGATTTTTTAATGTGTTACTGAAGTAATGTTATTTTTTGCATATTGCTAATGATTATAAAAAAGTTTAGTCCAATAATTGGAATCACCTTTTATTTATTTTTATTTATAATGAGGAATTTAATTTTACTTTATATGTATAATTGTTTGGAAATAATATACCATAGTGAAATAATAATTTTTTTTTCCGAGTTTAATACCTTTGAGTATTAAATTTAAACTTCACTATTTAATTGGGAATAAGGTCACTTAATTATTATTTAATAAACTAATGAATGTTCATTTCTTCTGTTTATTGACGTTTCGATCCCGGTATTTTCTTTTTATTAGTCAACCATGGGATCCTCTTCAAAGCTAGAACTGCAAATAGCTCAATCGGTACATAATATTACTTCCATATGACTTTAATAACAATTATTTCAAAATGTTTAACCTACTTTTAAAAAATAGAGCTTCGATCAGGCCAGGGACACACCGGACACACCGTTGTAGTTCTAGCTTTGAAGAGGATCCCATGGTTGACTAATAAAAAGAAAATACCGGGATCGAAATGTCAAAAAACAGAAGAAATGAACATTCATTAGTTTATTAAATAATAATTAAGTGACCTTATTCCCAATTAAATAGTGAAGTTTAAATATATATATATAAAATATTTCGGGCTGAAGCCCCTCCCCCAAAATTAAATCTGGATCCGGTAGTGTATATCACTATTATTAGAACAAAAGTTCGTATGTAAAAATTTTCAACTTTAATGCTATGTGTATTAAAGGTGACATTTTGTAGTCTGCAATTGATATAAGTAGTCTGCTACCATGGAAAATAGCAGATGACAATGAAATATGAAATTATTCTAATAAAGCATAAAGAAATAATGAGTTTTTATGCACTCTTGTAAAACAATAAATAAATTTTTACAAAAGACCTTTTGCACTAACAGTATTAAAATTCATGTTCAGTATGCATTTGTTTTTTTTTTGTTTTGTTTTTTTTATCATGCATAATCTAGTATGAAATCTTCAAATACGACGATCTTTTGTTGAATGTTGGAGGGTAATTGTAATCGGATATTCCGATTCTGCTTCTCTCAGAGATTTTATTCTCATACGAAAAATTGTATACCTTGTAATATACAACGGGAACGGTGAGGAAGCTATACTGACCTTACTTGGCAGACATATTTTTTTTTTTTTTTGTATAAATGATAATTTTTTTTATAAATATTATTTTGCATATAACTATGTAATAATAGAAAGGAGGTGGGATAAGGAGAGAAGAAGGAGAAGCAATATATAAGAGAGGGAAGGATGCAGGTGTAAGAGGAGCATATTGAGGGCTGAGCCATGTAAATGTTGCCGGGTCGCTATGACTCTCCGCTATTTACTTTTTCCTCCAAACTCCCTCCAGACTGTTTACCAGCTGAGGTAAATCCTCTTCCGAGGGGTTTTTGTGACCATGCGATATATTAGGCTTTTCTTGTACCCTTCGAGGGGGGGGGGGGCCTATACCGAGTTACATCCCCATGTAAAGAAGTGATTAAAAAAAACTGTTACAAGGCCTCCGATCAAGAGTAACATAATTAGATTAAACCTATTGCCTTGTTTAATCATCATTGATTACTCTGTCATCACAGAGTAATCAATATACTGGTCAGGAAGAGATTGCAATATATCGATCAATAGTTCACTGTGAAATTGATAAACCACCAAAAAATAGAAATAATACTTAAATGGTTACAGGTTTATTGATTAAAATAATTTATTATTTTCAATGTAATATAAATTGAACTATTTAATTTTTCAATAATTTCTATCAATATCCAGATGTGTCATTTTTGCTGTGAGCCACTATATATATATATATTTGTGTTTGCCATAAGAATTTCTTGGGCTGAAAAACCGAATATGATGGTAAAGAGATTCTTTTTTACATCAATTTACCTTTATATGTAATATATAGTAAGAGTTAGTATTGCGATTGTGAAAACTTTTTAGTCTGAGTTTTCAACGGAAATACACGTTTTGAGGTCCCTAATAACCAAATCCCGTAATATGGTCTCTGTGTGTGTATTTTATATGCAAGGGATGTTACAGCAACTTTTTTGTCAAAATCGGCTAACCGGAAGTGACACTTTATATAATGAACTAAACATATTTTTACGATTTTCTCGAAAACGGCTCTGATGATTTTGATTAAATTCATCATATCAGTGTAAAATTAAGCAGTTTGAAATAAAATGAAGTTTTTATTCTGAATGATGGTTTCTAACAGGGCTTTAATGACAAATTTTGAATATTAGCTATCCCTAAAGTACCTTTAATTTTTTTATTTGAAACTAATGACCATTTCACATTAATCTCTAATATAAAAGAGTTTGATAATTAACTAAAGGAGAAATAAAAGATCGTAACGGAGAATAATTGTAATTGGGAAACCAAATGAACACGAGCTCACCCGAAACATTAATATAATGCGGACACCGGCAATATTATATAAATATACATATGTGATTTTCATAAATGCTATTGTTGGTATCATTTAATATTTATTTGTATAGATTACAGCGAAATAAATATTAAAATTTGTATATATTAGGATACTTATAAAAATTAGAATACCCACAATGCATTGTAAATCAATATAACATATGTAATTTTTTTTCCACATACCCTTTGTCTAATATTACTTGTTTCTGCTAAGAATAGGGTGGTAAGTGAAAGTTGTGTAATGCGCTCACCACACCAGATTTTTACGAATAGTAGGGTCTTGTTTAAATTAGGCCCGCCAATGATTTTTTAATGATATTTAGTAACAGCTGTTATGAAACTTGATACCATTGATATAGAAATAAAATAACATGTTTAAAAATTATTTCATTTAGTATTGTTTTTGTAAAAGCGGTTATAAAGTGATAACACGATGAATATTTTTGAAGTTTACTATTAATGAAGAGGAACTAGCCAGGATTTTCTTTGAAGATGAATTCTACCTAAGGAAATCCTTAAGGACATAGTAGAATTTTGGCCTCCAGAGATACCTGGCTTAACTCATTAAAAGTATGTTGATGTTTTTGGTTTTGTATAAAAAGTTCCTATTAAATAAATCATATGTTTCTTTAACCCATATTTTTTAATTAATTAATAAATAACTGTTACTAGATAAAATAACTGGCAGGCGTAATCTAAACAAGACCCAAATGGTATAGATAGGAAATGCATTATGAAATTTTAGATTTGTCGCAGGATGGAAAACTTCAGTAAATTTAAACTTACCGGTTAATTTGGAATAAACTTTGTATGATTATCATACATGATAATATGTATGATTGGTATGCACTCGACATTTCCAAGTTCGTTAGTATGTCCCTAAACTACCATCAGTTCTCCGCTCGTTGGCAGAAGATCACAAGGGAGATCAAAAACGAGACGAATTGGTAGGATCAACAAAGGTAACACTTTATCAACAAAGATCTACTTGGAGCAAATTGGAAAACAATGGCCCGAGATAGTCGATAAAGGAGGAGGTAACAGGATATCCACAGCTTACAGCAGGTTAATTTATCAGCTATGCCAATGGGTAAATTAAATATTCAAGAAAAGTTACAAAAAAATAAAAAAAATTAATCGATTAAAGCATTTATAATAAATGGTCTTATAAATCTAATTATAATAAAATCTACGTCAATATCTTTTCCTTATGTTTAAATAATTGAGTAACTAATCATGAAATCTCTAATTGCCAAAATAGATTTATAATCGGAACTGACACGTAGAATCCCAAAACTAGTCAAATCATAAAATTTTTTGTATAAAAATAAATACAAATCTGTCATTGTTCTCACCATTTTATACTACATGGTTTTCAAGAACATTATTGATTGATATAACTGAAACTTTCTGTAGAATAAAACACTTTTTTTTCATATGTTAGTTATTCACTTTATAGATAGCGGACATGTTAGGTTAATATCTTTTGGTTAATAACAACAATATATGCTGATTGGAACACTTGTATGGCCATAGGCGCAAACCTTTCAATTTGATTGGGGAGTGGGCGATGGACAAAAAAAAATAGCTGTAGTTTATATTATTTATACAAATTCAATATAATTATTGTGAAATTAACAAATATAATAGATTCTAAGATTTTAAGTGGGTGGGGTGGCCGAATGGGCTAACCCGTGTGCAGAGCACCGCCGTTCTCTCTAAAGGGAGTATGGGGTTAAAAGGGAGTCTTTTAAATCCCCGCCCACACTCCCTGGCCCGGGAAAACCCCGTATGGCCTTAACGGCGAGGAAGGGGAGGACCCAAAAAAAAAAAAAAAAGATTCTAAGATTTTTTGTTTTATGTGCTTTTGGCTGTAATTGAAAATATATGAACAAAACTATTAAATAGATTAGAATTTGTATGTATTAAACATGAGAGGATGGGGGCCAGCTTCCAATAACATACAGACTTTTTCGGCTAAAAATGAATAATGTTAAAAACTGAAAAATATCTTTGATTTCTTAGTTTGTAGAACCTCCAAATAAAAATGATTCGTTTTCACAGTGTGACTACGGAAAATTATATTTAAAAACATTCTCTATAAAATATATTTGTACTTATTAAATATACGTTGTTGCAGACAATGTTTAAGGAAATCTCGTGAAAAAGGAGGAATCAACATGATAGGTGAATGAATCATAAAAGCCAAGGAAATGTTTCTATATCATTATTCCTGAATATGAATGAAAATTTAGATAATATTAATATTTAGGTCGGGATAAAATAGTTACGTACCAACTTATAGCCTGCTCGTCGACTTTTTTTATTTTCTTTATCGATTTTAATATAAATATTTTATTTATTTACGTAGCTTATTTGTTTTTCCAATTTTTTTTTACTTCAAATTATTGGGGCGATACGATATTCCCGCCCCCTCAACATTTTTATTAAAAGGGGCGATTGTCCCCTCCTCCTCCCCCTTCCCCCTCCGAATTCTACGCCTATAGGTATGGATAGCTAGCATGAAGTCATTGTAGTTTATGTGGTTTATAGTTAATAATGTTCTTGTTTTATTACGTTATACGACTTATAAAGTGAAATATGTTCATTTAAACATGACTCAGACGGCAGGATGCAAATCTATCTATGTTAGGTTAATAATCCGTGTCTTTTTTATCAAATTATTAACAGCTAGCTGAAACTTCGTTAATAGCTTCATCTCATCTTAACCTACAAATATTTTATTTACGAAAGTTCTCGGTATTGTTTTCAATCTACACGCAGGGCAACTTTCTATGTTTAATGAGGTACTAAAAACTCGTAAATACTCATTTGTTTTCCACTTGAATCGAAAGATAACTTGAGCTCAAAGTCGAGAAAAAAAGGTGGTCTTCAAAAATATTGAGCTATTTGACGTGACCTACACCCCAAATTGCCAAAATAACGAGGTTAGATAGCCTAATGTTTTTGTTGGCCACCTTTTTTATTGATGTTGTCATCAAATTATCTTATGATCCAAGTGGAAAGCAAATGAGTATTTACAAATTTTTAGTACCTAATTAAATAGACAAAGTTTGCCGACCTCTAGATTGAAAACGCCCCAATTCCAAGAATTTTTGAAAATAAAATATTTGTAGGTTACGGTGAGGTAATTAGGAATTTCAGGCAGGTGTTAATAATCTGATTAAAAGGGGGGCCCGAGCCACGAACTATAATATCTCTTAAACTTCTTTGGCTAATAACTCTTTGATTGGTAAAACAATAGAAGCTGATGTCTCATATACATTTATCTAACATGACGCCAAAGTAATTCATGTCGTTTATGTTTAATAAAGTATTTGTTTTATAGAAAATTCCCTTTCGCCTTTCCTGTTCAATTTGGCATTAGGGAGGTAATGCGTACCGAAAAATGGTTGTATCTGAGTGGGACGACACTCCTGCTTGGCTATGCGGATGATTTGGTCCTGTTAAGCGAAGACACGGAAACTATAAAACTAAATACGACAACGTTAATGAATTAAATAACTAGGGCTCGAAATAAACACTGATAAGACAAAATATATGGTTAGCTGCAAAAATGGCGATATTGCTGGTGATATCGATGTAGAAGGTGATATGTTTGAACAGGTAGAGAAGTTTAAGTATCTAAGGTCTATGATAACTAGAAAAAACGAAATTGAAGAAGAGATTAAGGTTAGACTAAAGGCGGGAAATACTTGTTATTTTTCTGTGACAAAACTACGTCCCGGAATTTACAGACTAGGATCTATAAAACCATTATCATACCTCCAGTATTTTTATCGATCGAAACTTGGCCGCTTGAATTAAGGGATGGGTAACGTCTTAAGGTTTTTGATAATAATGTATTGCGTAGAATATTCGGACCGAAGAAAGATGAGTTAACCGGAGAGAGGACCAGAAGGTTGCAGAACGCTGAATTGCGGGAATTGTATCCATTTAATATAATTGAAGTAATTACATCGCGCCGAATCAAATGGGCTTGTAAAGTTGTTGGGCTTAATAACGAGAGAATTCCTGAAAGGTTAATATTTGCTGTACCGAATGGTTAACATCCGAGGGGTAGACCGAAGCGAAGGTGAGAAGACTGCGTTAAAGCCGATCTTAAGGGACTGGGTTTGGATGGCGAACGATGAAGGAGGTGTGTAATAAGCGATTGGTGGTGTCGGCATCGAACCTCCGGTTTCGCTAAGCCTTTTATTATTTATTAATTATTTGTTTTATTAAGTACAGTGAAATATAGTTCATTTAAACTTTGTGACTTCATGTAATTATGTATCTTTTTGTAAGAAAGTAATGTTTTTCTTGAGCAATAATTTAATTTTGTTCCAGTTAAACTGGAGGTGAACGTTTGTAAAAATGGTGTGTAATACTTATGGTGAGCGCGGTGGTGATTTAAGGTGCAAAACATAAAACTTGGAGGACCCCTTTAGGGCCCTAACAGCTAAAACAGTTGGAGTTTAAGCCCTATTAGCCCTGGTGACTTATAAACTAATTGCTTAGGGCCGGTGCCCGCGACCTAACTACCTTCGTATTTATATCAGTTGCTCTTGGAGTTGTGTTCTCAGGTATCCTTCCCTTTATCGCTTATGGATTCGGGCTACAACTTCGTCCTATCATCAACCTTCCGTATCGTGTTCCATTGGATTAGCGAAATTATATTATCAATATTTACAAATATGGACAAATAATATATATTTTCAACAACATAAAATGTATTTAACTAAAATCAAAATCGTTTTACTGGAATTATCAATTAAGGTATTAACTAAAAAGTTGGTTATAAGGAAAAAACGCTGCAAATTATTTCACAGTGGTTTATTATTTCCAAACAATTACACATATAAAGTAACATTACGTTTAGTGTTGTCCAAAATCGATCTTGGTCTTTGCAAGACCAAGACCAAGGCCGCCTAACTGTTGCTAGACCAGGACTGATAAAAAACATCGATTTTTTAAAATAAAAATTAAAGGAAAATAGTTACTAATACTTGGACAATCTTAGTTACTATATGTTAATAATTACATTTAACTCACTCCTCTAATTTTTCATTACAGCTTAGTTATGTTTCTCCTATCTAAAAAATTACAGTAATATCTATAGATTACCAAGCTAATAAGTAACTTCGAGACTCTTGCGCAAGACCAAGACCGTGACCAAGACTGAGTATGCAAGACCAAGCCTCGTCACGGTCTCACACTTGGGCAGCACTAATTAATTTTCTCTTAACAAAGAAAAAGAAATAAAAGGTTATTGCAATTATTTAACTAACCTTTTTTTCATCATTATTAATTTGCTAAAAAAAATAGCTTTAGTTCATTAACACATTCAAAAATCAAAATCCAAAATAAATGATATAACCTTTGCAGTAAAACACATAAAAAAACATCTACAGACCATATCTTTGCTCCAAATTGTCCAATTTTAACGATTTTTCTTTTGTTTTTTAGGAAATTTTAAATAACAATATCATCCAATATCGACCAAAAAAGTATGTACTTTTTGAGTTATTCGGAATCTAATTTCACTACCCCTCGTAACTTTTTTTCAAGCTTCTTTTCGTTGAAGTATGTTATACAGATAAATTTAAAGGGCATCGAGAAGAGCACTATAGCCAAATTTCATTGAAATCAATAAATTCGTTTAGACGATATAATCTAAAGCAACCCAGGTTTTTCGGTAGCCATCTTGAAAGGAAAAGGCGGATACTAATGTTGAATGACCTTTGACTTTAAATCTAAATTTTAAAAGAAATCGGCCCAGTAATTTCGAAGAAAATGCGCGGACGGCTGACGAACAAAACAATTTTTATTCGTTTTTCGAATTCTACGTATCCTGAAATGTAAAACCTCAAATTATGAGACGGGGTTAAATTTTTGAATTTTTTGTTCGATCACAATGGTTCATTATTGAAAATAATAAACCAAAAACTAGTAATAGATACCCATGTGTAATACTGCTTCATTTCATTATTTTTATTTTGTTTTTCACATTGATTGTTTAGTAAATATTGAAAATGGTATCGCTGGAAGTTTTATATAACTCTGATCGCAGGAACTAGTAAAAATAGTAATAATTTTAGATATCTCAGGCCGTCAGATTCATAGATAAAATTTTTAAATGTTACAGAAATACTTGGATTAAGTTTCTGAAATTTACTTTATGTTAATGTTTAATGGTAAGTCATTAAAAAAAAATATGCATAGTATTTTATAATAAATAAAGGGACAAACCTAATACCAAATCCATTCAAAAGAGTATTGTTCAGACTGAAACTTTAAAAAAGACAACAAAAAAAAAAAGATCAAATCGATCTACATTAAAATTGTTGGTATTCAGTGATTGCATAATTTGATGTTTATGTTAATGTGACAACTTTTATTTTATTCATTTTCTCTTAGAGTTTTTTCTCTTAGAGAATTCATTTTCAAGCTGCAGGACCATTAATATTAAATTTTCTCAGTTTTTGGTGAATTTGGTAAAAATCCTTGTTCGTTGGTCTTAACCACGACCAACCATTTAACCATTCCACTTGTCCAAATTATTAAGTTTAGGTAGTCGTACGGCGCGCGATTTAACGATATAATTTCGCCCCAGGCGCCAATAACTCACGTGATTACACTGCATTAAGTTATTTAATATTGGAACTTCTTTTCTTAATAGAGTCATGTTCAATTTTTTTTCTGATTATCAGGAGCGTAAGTTCAAATGGGTCTAAATAGGAGCATAATTCAGTTTTAGTTTTAATTTCACAAAATCTCGGAATTTCTTGTTCTACAACGTTTATTCTATGAGTTTTTTTTTCATAGAGAAATCATTTCCAAGCTGTAGCGCGATTTCTAGAAATTAGTATATGTTAATGACGAATTTGGTAAAAATCAGAGTTGGTTTACCGTGGTTATCGACCATACTACTTAACCAAATTATTAAGTTGAGGTACTCATTCAACGCAAAATTTAGCGTTCTTCAATTTCTTAAAGAAAACATTTTTCGCTTCGAAGCACCGTTTAGGAGTTATAGTTGAAAAAAAAAATCGAAAAAAAAAATGGCTTTTTTGGCTGTAAAAAGTTTTCTCTTGGTGGCCCGCGTTAGCAATTTTGGTTTTTATAAGTCTCAACCAATATATAGGAGTTAAAACAAAAACATTTCCCACATTTTTCGCAGTGATTTTCCCGTTTCGATTCTCCAGTTAATGATGTAATATTTTTTAAATTAGCCGCCACAGGTAGCAGGATCCGACTATATAAATATTATGTGCATTGAAATAAAAAAAAAAAAAACTGTGTGCTTTGAACAACACGATAGAAGTGAACAGCAACAAGGCAAGATTAATTATATAAAATATAAATTTTCCTTTCCGCCTCTAATATGGCGTTCCGTTAAGATACAATTGTGAATAATAGCTAATTACAAAAAGGATGAAATGATCGATCAACATTCACCTCGCTAACAATATGCAAGTTCGATTTTTAGTTTTCGACACTACTTTTTTTCCTTTTCGCCTCCCTAACACAGTTTCGCGTTAAGATACGATTATGAATAATATCACATTACAAAGAGTATAAAATGCTAATCAATTTCCTCGCTTACAATATGCAGGTGCGATTTTTAGTTTCTGTGATATTTTAATTCATATGTAAAAATATTTTAATTAGTCGACTTTGCCGATTTTACCCGAGCGTTAACACCGAGTGAAATTTAATGGTTCAATCTAATTCACTCTCCACAGAAAAGTACAAAACGCGCTTTAAGGAGTTTTTACTTTTAAAATGCGTTAAAAGCTCTCATCAAATAATGTATATTTTTTTCACGGGCTCTAAGACTATAAGTGAAAGTTGTGTACAGTTTTTTTTTTTTATCAACTACAGAGAAGAGCTCTGCTATAAAGAGGAATCAATCAAGCGCTGAAAGGGCCGGGATCGAACTCCAACAACCTTCCTCGTTTCCTTGTTTGGATTCAGATGGGGGCTTAAAGGGAAAGGGTGACTATAGGAACCCTCATAGGAGGAGGTCTTCCAATTACCTCTTATCTGTTACTTCCCATCCCTGGCAGAACCTTGGGGATTTATCTCGCTCCTTCTTATCTCCGTCTTCATTTACCAGCTGGCCAGTGCCTTTTATATCCTACGAAAGGGCAAGTACCAATTTTCTAAATGTTATCGGCATGGCTTGATTGTTGCTAGTGAAAGATCAAGATTTTATATATATATATATTTTTTCTACTCCACAACTAGTACACGGCGGTCTTGATAATAAGAGCATGTAAATTACATGCAATGTATACCTACGATGGCCTGTTCGGACTATCGAAATCTTGGGATTGTCAAACGTTAATTTTAAAATTATATAACCGAAGTTAACTCCCCTCCCTCAAAATTTGAGATTTTACGTTTTAAGATACGTGGAATCTGACAATCGATTGAAAAAAGAATCCTTCCGTCCACTGCTTTTCTCTGAGACTACTGGACCAATTGTTTTGAGATTCGTTATTGATGTCAAAGGGCACCCGAGGATGATCCTCGGAACTCGGCATTACCATCCGGTCTTTCCTTTCAGGATGGCGGCTCAAAAATAAATGTACAGATTTTGATGAAAATTGGCTAAAGTATCCTCATTTGAGGACCTTTAAATTTATCTATATAAATTTATCTATTTAAATTTATCTATATACATACTTCACCGAAAATAAGATGGGGAAAAGTTACGAGGAGGAATTAAATTAAATTCTTCAATAATTCAAAAATCTTATACTTTGATTTGTTGCAAAAATATGTTGTTCTTAATATTTTCCAGTCTTACATTACCTAAGCAATAGAAATTTAAAATTGTCAAGATGAAAAAAAAAAAATTTTTAAACTAGTTTTTAATTATTTTCCTCTGAGACTAGGAAAGTATGATATATAACCCTTTGAAAACGATAAATCATTGTGAAATAATTTACACATTTTTAAATTATCAAGCCAATCTTTGCTGCCATAAAAATCTGTTTTGTCCTGTTTCTTAAAAAATAAATAAACAAAAGCTTTTTGCCTTTTGGCTAATATATTCTCGGAAATGGGACATTCACGTGATCCAACCTCGTTAAAGAGATTCCTCAACTTCTAGATGGTAGCCTAGTTTTAATATTTTTCTTTTAGAGACACCACGATACAGTATTTGACACTATCACACCAAGTAATTTCAGTAATATTTTTTTTACGCGTGTAAAAAAGCTTCGAGAACATAAAGGTTCGATTCCGATTACAGTGGCTTAATAATACAGTGCGGTCATATGGATTCGATTTCTGATTGGTTGGCCATCTTGGATCGTCCCTTGCTATCTGCTTGCTCTTTAGGCACCTCAAAACTGTTAAAATTTCATATTTTATTAGCAGTATTTTAGTTCAGAAGCTTAATTTTGTTGTTTAAGTGATAGGTTTAGTTTATTAATAGGTAGTTTTTATTGAATAGTTATACGTTTTAGTGTTTTCAGTGATTGTTTTGGTTTCTTGTTCGGTGATAGGTTTCATCTTTACAGACTTATTTTATTAGTGATATTTTATTTAAAAGTTTAATTGTGTTGTTTTAGTAATAAATTTAGTTTACTAATAGGTAGTTTTTATTGAATAGTTGTACGTTTTAGTGTTTAAAGTGATAGTTAACCTATTCAT